ACAACAGTTACACTTCATATCGATTTCCCAAGTGGTTCCAAAGGTAGTTTGTATCCAGAGAATTTAGCAAGAGATTGAAGGTCTTACTGAATGTTTCAACACGCCTTGCAATATCCTTATTCTAAAGACAGTAAACATTATTCATTATGAACAAACTCGATGGTAAAAGAAAGGAAAAATGGTAAGTTTTATGAACCAAACTGAGAAATATGGAAAAACAGAAAAGTACAAAGAAGAATTCACTAAAAGTTAATAAAAATAAAACAGCCAGCATTAATGAAGGTTGATGTTTCACAACAAGGACAGTTCTTACTTGATTTCCGGACTGTTCCAAAGCTAATTTATATTTAGATGCTTCGTTTAAAACTGCGCACAAAGAACTTTCTAATATCAAGTAACCAAGTTCAGGCCGATCTAAAAAATATAGTAGCAAACGACAAACTCGCACTTCCGTGAATTGTACCTGGTGCTCCTAAAAAAACCTTTACGAGTACTACATAATCGCGAACAATGTCTTAAGCCTAGCTGTAAATTATGAAAACCTTGACTTCATCTTGAGAATCCTTCCCTTCACGAACTTCTACAGTATCCAGTTTTAAGTAATCTTGAATAGCTTTCTTTATTATCGTCAAGGAGTAGGTTCTAAAAGATTTTAATGAATCAACTTGACCGTAAAGTCAAACTGACGCTGATAAAATAAATACAAATTTGCCGTCTTAGAACATCATTTTGCAATCTTACATCGACAAATCCGACGCACTTGTTCTGCAAGTTTAATGTAGATAAAAAGATCAAGTTGTAGAAATTCTCACTTGAAAAAAGTTGTGTCAACAGATTCATCTGTCCCAAAAGGCTGAGTTCCTGCAGAGGAATCGCCGGACCGATTTAAAAGCCAGTGGTGTAAGCGCCTGTTTAAACTCATATCCTTACGTAGTAGAACAAAAATGCAACGTCGCAAAAGCTGCAAAACAGGGGTTTTTAGTCGGCCAGCACAGTACCATATAAACAACATGATACTTATTTTATACGTTAAAAAAAAAAGGCTTTTATTACCAAGAATTCTGACCTACATAAGACCATAAACAACGTATACCTGAACAAAATCCTCCCTGACCAAGTGGTCAGAATTTAAAGGAAAAGCAGCTGAAAGAAAATCCAGCAGATGTCTTTGGACTAAAGTTGAACCAGTATCTTCAGCGATAGCGCATAAGGCTACGATCTATAACTGTATACTTCCAGAAAAAAGTTAATTAAAAAAATTTAAAAATATAATGAAAAGCCAGCAACTATTTAACAAGGTTTAGCTGCACTGAAATTCTACCATATGATCAACATGATAACCCATAATAAACAACTGGTCTTCCATTGATTTTCTCCTGTCAAAACAAGTGTTAACGAAAATTAGGGCTGGTAGCCTGACGGAAGGAGACCCCAAAGCTGCCTCCCACAGGCAGCTAAAAAAAGCCTCTGCACCAACAGCACTCTTTATGTTCTGCAGCAATTTCAGCGACCTGTCAATACAAAAAATTATATAAAAAATAAAACACTGACTCCTGCCCTCCCCAAAAACCATAAAGCTCAACAAGACCCCAGATTATTATTTCGACTTCAACACGGAAAAATAACAAAAAACAGTTGTGCCAGTTTTACGACAAAAAAAATAAATAAAATAAAGTATAACACACATATAAATACTGTCAAACCTATTGTAAAATTCTGTTCCTTCTTCCAATCCAAGCAGAACTGCAGTAATAAAACCTGGGAGTGCAGGTTTTATTCGGCTCGCCAGGGGCAATAAATATTGCTCAAATATACTTAACAGTTCGGATTTCACCTAAACTTCAATTGTAAGACAGAAATTTCGCAAAAGAACCTCCTCTTTAAAAAAAGTTAATCTCCCCACTACTTCGCAAAACACTTAAATTAAAAATAAATAACAAAAGAAGCAGACCTTAATACCACAGAAATCCATTAGTGGAAACAGGCCAACAGCAAAAAGATAAAGCAGACGAGGAAGAGACGTTGGCCCCAAAATATCAAACAGTTGACGGTAAGTTTCTAGGGCTTTTAAATGAACCCCATGAGGTAATGCTGGATGCAGGCACTGAGATAAGCGTTTCGCTACTATAACTGGTTTAGGAATATCAAAATGGAATTTTGCATTTGAGTGAAAAACCTGAAAGTTAACATCACTTATGAACATTCTAAATATAGAAGACTAAAAATAAATGTTATAATCTGCATAACATGCCCTCAATATTAATAACAAATTAAATTTCCTTAAAAAAGACACCAGCAACCCAGTATCATTTCAGAAATTCACCAGCTTCAAAAATTTGATAACAAAAATTAGAAAGTGTCTATAGAAATCAGAAAGTTGTTAACTTACTCTGCTAAGTTTCGTCAAAGCAGATATTAAATCTGCCCATTCATTGCTAGTTTCAAAAGCTTTGAGTGCTTTATCTACTGCAGCAACGTATGCTCGGTATTTACTGCTGTTCGACTGTACACCAACATGTGCAGCATTTATTTCACCATCAGCGCTGCTAAGCAAAACCGAGGACATCTAAAAAAAATAAAAAAATAAAAATAAAGGCATACTTAGGTGACCATGACCAATCAGATCAGTGACAGATTTTAAAATGCAGCAAACGTACACAACATCAAAAAATTACTTCAAACACTTCGAACAACAATATTCTCCGAAATGCAAAATAAAACTGAAAGAATTTGAGCAAAAAAATATCAATGTAGGGTTCTACACAAGAGAACACAGAATAGTGAATTCGACCCTCCTTACTTTCTACAACTTCTAATCTGTGCTTTCCCAAATGGAATGGGCTTTTCTCGGGGTTACTACACAAGATATGGTTAAAAAAACATTTCGTATGTACAATCCTGCAAATATTGAGCAATAGATAATAATCATATAGTGTTTATATAAATATATATAAATACATATGTGCATTCATATACAAATTTAGTACCGTGTAGTACAAAGCATTTATTATAGAGACAGAAGATTTATGTTAAAAATGCATAATCGAACAACTTTCCAAATAACAACCACATTCGTACAGCTCACTGATTGACAAAACTCCAAAACTTATCTGCTATTGCACTAGTCGCTAGAATCACAGAATGCATGGAAGTAGACTTGAATGCAGAATTAGGAAAATATGTTGCTTCTCACCTGAAGTATTATTTCCTATCAAAGTCTGGCCTCCCTACCCTGTTTCAGTACGCTGATTATCCGACTGCGATTTATGGCGATTTTGCTGACATGTAAGTTGTACCCAATTACGTTAAAGTCAAAATATGCTTTTTTGAGGATTTCTGTTCTTGATGCAAAAAAAAAAAAGGAATTTTTTGGTAAAGAAGACAAAAACTTCAATGTAGATCTCAGCTTTTGCATACCACTTGACAATTTTCAAAAAATAATACTTTTGAACATTTGTAACCTTTTTCTGTTTTCTACATTGTTAAGTAACTGAAGAAGCAAAATTCTTTTCAAACAGTTGAACGAATTATTTTACACATTTGCTGCCTGATCACTATTAGTCAGAAGATAAACAAACAGAGGTGGTTAAATTTTTATGCTATAAAAAAGATACTTCTTGCACTGCATTAAAATCTGTTGCTCTGGGCCCATAAAAATCTTGGAGTAGTATTAGCGCTCCCACCCTTCCTAAGGTCTCTCAATCAAACTTTGTTATCTCTTTAAATTTCCTAATGGCTATCATCAGTTTTCAACAAAAACTTAATAAAGCTGCGAGAATAAAGGGTCTCCAAAAAGTGTTGAACGTTATTGCGCAAGATACACTGACTTATGGGCAAAGAAGAAGCGCTGTGCCATAGTCATACTGAAAAGTTGGATATGAATTTAGCCACAGCAAAGGAACTGCTAAATAATGCTCGTCTAGTGAATCACAGCGACAGACTCCAACCTCATTTCTTCAAATCATTGAATTTATACAGTGCTCCCGTTCCCCACAGATTATTATCATAATTCTCTTTTAATACTGCATTATTCGCAACCTTGCAGTGGAGATCGGTCGAATTCTCTATGCATATTCAGAAAACAGACATGTCAACCACTTAAACTGCTATTCAAAATTAACGTAAATTTTGGTAAT